TATCTGTGCTAGAGCTACTTATCACAAAATACTAGCAAAGCTAATGAATAGGTTGCAAAAATACAGAGGTTCAGAAATAACTTGTTATGTAGATTAGTGAGTAGCGTTACATACTGGAACACAGTTCTTCCTGCCCATTTGTTACTTTGTGTCATGGGAAGGACTAGCTAGTATGAATTACTAAAGCTGATGACAGAATTATTTTCTCTACTATGTAATTGCACAAGTAAACAGCTGAGGTGGAAAAAAATAACAGGTCTATGCTAGATAACTACAGGTAGTCTTCAAAAACACAGTTTTTGCCAAGGCCCTGTGAGTGTTAGTTTTTCTCCTTGTGCAAAGTGAATGCATAAGTGATTTTTCTTACTTTTTTTTGGTATATGTCTTAGATGCAATATTTTTTAATCATTCTGGTCAGTCTTTTCAATCTGGTCTTAAGTCTCCCATTCTGTTCCTTCACATCTGTGGTCCCAGGAATCCACAGAAAATTTGTGTCTTCAGGAGAAATCTTTGCATCTTTGTGTTAGTTTTGTGCCCTGTCCCATTGGTTTTTAACTCAGGTATCAGCTTGTTTTCACATAAGCATCCTCTCATCAGAAGGTACTCTTTAGTGGTTTTTAAATAAGGTATATTTAAAAATACTTGATGTAATGGATAATGGTAAAACTGTTCTTTGTATATTTATTTATTTTTAATCATTCCCTTTCTTAAATCACGTCCTCATTTAATTAAGTAATTAGTGAGTTGGAGTAAAATTAGGACAGGGAATTTTGCATTTTGATGATTGCTTGTCTGCAGTTACAATAATTCAGTTTATATTGACTCGCAGTTCATGGGCGAGAGAATGTGTGTTGCTAGTCTTGCTTTTACAAGAAAAAAGTTAACATAGAATTTCACAGATGTTCACTGTGCTGAGAAGTTCACAGGTTTTTAGAAGTATATGTTTGCTGGGGGGGGAGGGGGCATGCTGTACAGATGGGTTGCCAGGCAATTAATTCTTCCTACTTGGATTGCCTGCAATAGGAGACAATCCAGCTCTCATGAGCAGTGCAATATTATTTGCAAAAGGAAACTACCGAGTAACAATTTTCCTATTCTCTTCCTTCTTTCTTCTGTCTTCCCAGCCTCACTATAAACCTCCCTTCCTTTGCTGTGCATTTCTGAGAAACTGCTAATGATTGATATGATAGCAGTGCTGTCATTCTTCTTAACCAAAAAAAGTCATTTTTATTCTAGGTATTTTAATAGAGTCCCATTAAGGATGTATTGCTGACTGAAATATTGGCATGAAGGGCTCTCACTGAGCTGAGCCCAGGAATTAAGAAGTCAGGAAATCGGCTGCTGCATTGCAAAAGAACCTTGTGTGACACAGTATCTCCTGATTGGGGGGATCATTACTGCTATTATGACTCGACTTGCGTAGGAATTTTAAATTTCATCTGAATGTCAGTAATAACCCTCTTAGCAAATTATCCTGAATAAAATCACGAAGGCATTTTATATAATAGGTGTTGAATTACTGGATAGATTTGCTAATTAAATACTCTTTGTTCTGCTGCAGTTGACATTACAGGGTAAGATCTTGAACAATTATTCTCAACAGCTGTACTTTGTTAGGGGAAAAATTAACTACAAAGTTTATTTTTTTTTCTACACTTGAAGTTGGCAGATTTTTGAAATGTGCTTGAAAAAAATTCCATCATCCAATTGGTAATGAGAAGATAAATATGCAGGTGTTGCTGTGAAATCAGATAACTACTGACTGCCTTATTAATGAATTTAGCAAGGCTCTATAACCTTCTGTTTTGTAGCTGTTGGCACTTACAAGTGATCTCCTGTCAGAATGGGTAGCACTAGCATATGCCAGTCACTTGATGAAACTAACTTGCCTGTGTCCCTCTTGTAATTACCTACAGCCACTGCTGGCCTCAGAGACAAGTGAGAAATTGTCTTTGCACAGCCAAAAAAAATTCTTAGTAGTTTTTTCCTATTAAAAAAAAAAAAATGTTCTCTTTATAGCCACTAATAAATAGTGTTATTTCAGAGAATGGAGTAGAAAATGCGAGAGATTGTCAAGGAAAAAAAAAGTAGGCCTTCTTTTCTTTTACATATAAACTCTTCATTTTTCCATCCAATTTTTAAATTTTGTTTCAGGGACTCCGGTTTGGTTTTGGAGTATTAAGGGAAAGGTATACCCTTTCTCCATAGGAGTTAGATCATAAGTGAGAGAAGGGCAGGGGAGGGAGAATAAGCTGGAATTCTGATTACTGCATATGAAATTTGATGTCATGTACCAGTCACACATGTCTTTAGAATAATTTCAAAATTCCGTGGAAAGGTGGTGGGGCGGTGCTGTCTGAATCACCGACTAGGAGATGAATAGGAGTGGAATATCTTTTTTTTAAGCTTCTGATTAAAATGAAATCGGGTGCATCTAAGTACATACAGCCTAGGGTGAATCTGCAGTTAAGAGTCACCGTTTTCCTCTTCTTTGTCTACATGGAAGATTGAGGCCAGCTGAGCTTTTTCCAATATGAGACTTCAGCGGAGTTCAGGCATCACATTGTCGGAGTACCTGGTTTGCAGCATCAGTGGATGGTCTTTAAACCAACTGGATGTTTTGAACTTGACCCAGAGAGTGTAAATCCATAGGTATCCATATGTGCTTGGGGAATAACCTTGATAAGGACAATTATTGTGAGTCAGCTGTGTCAAAGTTAGATTGTGGTTTGGAACCTAACCTTTCCTTAAGTGCCTAGAAGGGAATGGTGTATTACGTTTGCTTAGTTCATGTCTTTGTACTTTGGGAGAGTGAGTCCATCCGTAGATGCAGCGGTTTCCCTTTGAAGATTAAACTGGCTAAAAAGTGCGTCTAAACAGCAACTATGTTGAAAGAGAGTATTAAGTTGCAAAGTCAAGCATTGCAAAACTAAGAATGTCGGAGGAATATAGCTTTCAGTGCATATTCTGGGGTACATGGTTTAAAACAAACTGTAAAAGCATAGTGGAGTGTCGCAGACCGCTGGTCTCACGTTCTTCAGGAATCACAACCCAGAAGGTTGTTGTGATTCCCCTCGTATATCAGAAGGCTTTATTTCTCTCCAAAGGTCTATACCGCAATCAAAGGCTTCTAACAGAGAGCTTCAATACACTGCTCTCCAGGGGCTCCTACCACTCCAGTCTCCAGGAGGGAACTGCCCCACTCCCTCTTGGGAGTGCCCTGCCTTTAAACCTCCCATAGGTCACGTGGTCTCCGGCTGACCAACGTGATTCACAGCACCTGTCTCAACAAGGCACAGGTGCTTCCCATGTAGCAGCCAGGAACTTCCTTAACAGTGGAGCATCATACTTTAGTATTCATTACTGTGGTTGTCCAAAGGTTCAGAAATATTGAAGAAACTTACCGTTAATGTTGAAAGAATGACAGTGTTGTCATCCTGTTCATGTACTCTTACGCAGAGGTGGACATTTCACCTTTGTTTCAGAAGTTTACTGTAATAGCAGTAGTCAATATTGCCATAGTCAAGACTCTTGGATTCGTTTTAGGCTCCTTGGCCTTGTGAAAGTCATGAGATGTCCTGAAGATGTTCTTATTCCCATTGAGCATGGCCAGCTCTTCCCTGTTTGTCCTTTTTTTTTTTTTCCCTCATCCCTGCTAATTTCTACTGCTCAGCTCCGTGTCACAGGCTTCTTGACTACAAGTCATAATTCTATCTTTTTGTCAAATATCATCACAGAGTGTTGCAATTTAATGTATGAAAAATAGTAAAACTTAGATTACTAAATTTAATAAAACTTGTTAAAATAGTGTTGCCTATTACTAAAGCTCGAGTACCAAATTGTTCAGATTCACCTAATAGACTCTGATCGATCATTGCTGTAAAAAGTGGTTCAAAGTAATCCTCTTTAAGAAAATTAAAAGTTTAAATGTATATGAGAAGCAAGACTGAGGTTTATGCTGAATGGGAATGGAAAGGACAGAAACTTGGGAACCGGGACTAACCAGGTGGAATCAGGAGGTGTGTGCCAGAGCACCAGGATGCTGACAAAGGAGATGGGGAATACAGTGGAAACATGGCCAGGTGACTGAAGGAATGTACCAGATGTTGGTTCTCATGCAGCTGTGCAGACTTCACCAAGCCCTTGCTGCTGCAGCAGCTACACATTCTGTTCATCAAGCTGGTTTTACTTTGCCTTTTCTGCGCTACAGCTGTGTCTGTGGCTTCAGAGGATATATTCCTCCACCCCTCTCCACTATGCTGACCAGTATTAGAGATGGAAGCAGTAGCCTACGCATGTGAGATCTCTATAGCTATTTATAAGGTTCAGAGAATTGCTATTCAGAGCATTCAGGGAACTTGGGATGCACTCTTGGATGAGGAGCAAATGTGATTGCACATGGATTTGCCCATCGATTCAACATCTGTATCCTATGTTTATCCCAGCTCCTTGCCCTAGTTCTGTTTTCTCTAAGGAGTTTGCTTTTTGAAGACCAGTTTTGAGATCACTACAAGGGTAATCAACCTTTTGACTAGGTTCCTGTTAAGTGAGCACCATCCAGGCTGTACTGAATAAGACAGGACGTTTTTGGGAAAAAACTCAATGACATCAAGAGATAAGATGATGGATATGTAAGAGACGACTGACCTAAATTACTAAAAGAGGCATAATTCTGGCACTTCCTGATTAGGTTTTATTTGAGCATTTGATTCAATGTTCTTTTTTTTCCTAAGGTAGAATGTGTGTGTGCACATGCAATTTTGAGATTTGTTTTAATCTTGTTTTAGGGGAGTTAATAATAGCATTAATACAAGGTCAGATGAGAATGTACTCATGTAATAGGAGTATTGAGGTGACTGTGTGTTGCCAGGAGAGAGGTGGTTTGCTTTGTTTTGAAAGGTGAGAGCATTTGGAGTTAGCAACCTAATGGATATGTTTGCATGTGTTAGCTTGTAATTATATCATACGCTAATCTTTGATTATATTTTTTTTTATTTCAGATTTTGATGCATACCAAGGAGATGGTGCAAAAGGTAATGCTGAGCATTTTCATTAAACAAAAACCATTAAAGAGCACACCTGGTGAAATTTTTTTATTCTAGGAGAACTGTAACCCAAACAGACCTCAAATCACTTCTTAGGATGCCTGGTTTACGAATGTAATCCTTCCTAATGGATTATAGCTTTTTTCTTTTCCTACCACAGATATGATCTGGCCCCTGCTTGAAGCCTGTGTGCCACTGTTTCAAGCAAATTAGCAGCAGTGCTAATTAGAGTTTACTCATAGACCTGTTACACCATGTGTTCTAGTGTTTTATTATGGTTTGTTTTTTGGCATCCTTTAAACTCTGTCACAGGGTGGTTTTTTGACTATATGGAGTTTAATATGGACATAGCCATGCTGCAGTTTTTACAGCTGCATTGATTTTCCACCAATGAAGACATCGTTTTCCTTTTTTCAAGTTAATATTACATAATTGGATGCATCTGCCCATTTTTCGTGTGACATTTACTGGTGTTGACCATTTTTCTTTTCACCTTTATCCTTGCTATGCCTTTCATAGGCACCTCAGGCTTTTTTATGTGCTTCAATTTGTCTAGAGTTTGTGCCATTATCCCAGGGTATTATGGCAGTCTGGCTGGTGTTTGAACGCAATCTTTTCCAAGTAGGGCATTTGAATTGTTACAAGGCTCAGAATGAGAGATGATACGAAGGGCAGAGTGTCGGTCAGAGAGAAGGTTTCAAGTAGGTGTTTGTGTTCATCTCCAGATGTAATTGTTCAGTAGTTCAACACAGGGATACAAAACTTGTCGGTCATAGTAACTAGATCCTTATCCAAAAGGAGTGCCTTGTTCCCTGAAAGATCTGCTGGCCAGGGGAAGACTAACACAAGTCATTAGATTACAGCAGAAGAAAATAGATGGGAATGGGAAGATGGAAATATGAAGCATAATCTGAAAAAGTGTAAGAAGAGCAGCCTAATCTGGATAGAACTGTGGTATTGTATCCACTAGCCAATAATTTAACTAGATGTGTTTGAAATAATGTATCTGAGGTTTTTTTGTTTGTGTTTTTTTTTTTTTAAATCCAGAATGACCTTTTTTGCAATAGTGTTTTGATGGCTACAAATGGGATATGATACCTGACTGTAGTATTATCTTTCAAGCACATTGGCTGAATGTCTGATCTGAATAGCCTGAATTTGTCCAGCAGTCTTTGAGTTTAAGTGATCTCCTTGTGTCCTAGCAGTCCAAAGTTATTTCTGATTAGAGTTCCAGCCATTTCTCAAGATTAGAGTTGTTCACTGACTTATTTTTCTAGCATTCGTTTAGTAAAATTTAACTACTTGTATTATGTACGCAACTGAACAGTGGTTTTGTTTTGATTTCTTTTTAAACATATCGGTGGTTTAAGTTTCATTATTCTGAAATTCAGGTATGTCTTAATGAAATGTACAGACTTCTCAGTAAAAACTAACTTTACATTTTACTGTTTTTTAGTATTTAAGGGATAATATAGGGACAGTGATCTTTTTGAATCTTGAAAATGAGGTGGGACTTTAAAAAGATGGAATGGTTCTGTTTTGTTTTTCAAAGCAATTTGTTTCATTTAGATGAACCTTGAAGTGATTTATGGAGACACAGATTCCATTATGATAAACACTAATAGCACCAATTTGGATGAGGTCTTCAAGCTGGGGAACAAGGTAAGGAATTTTTTCTTTTTAAAGCTTTCCCACATGTCTGTGTTGTAGCACTGAGTGGACCATGTGATATTAAGAGAGGACTCCATAGCACAGGCAGTGAATAGACCCTGAGGAAGAACTACTTGACCATGTACGGAAACTATGAAGTAGTAAAAGCTCAGAGTGTGCTATCTTCAGATGTAGCTACTCTGTGCATTTTTACAAGTGATTAAATGAAAATGAAACATTTCATTGTATAACGAGCTTTTTTACCAATCGAAAGTTACCAGGAGACTATCTGAATACTTAGTAAGCCAAAATGTAAGGTACAATTCCTCTGTATTAGTTCCAATTACAACATTAACACAATTTTGATATTAATGATTTTTGTCTTGACGTGCGACATGTCTGTCAGTTTAGTTTTGTTTATGTATTACACATGACACTCGATGTACCATCAGATTTCCAGTGGTAAAATAAAATATTAATTTCCAAGATGTACTAGATATGGAAGAGTTGTGTTTGATTAGCGTTTGGCAATTGACGATGTGAAAGTTTTGTGACTCTCTGAAATTGTAGAAGAGAAGTGAGAAATGTTTCAGAACATTTTAAGGAAAAAATGTGAGAGAAGTTGTTTTTGAAAGATGGAAGAAATTGAGATGAAAGTGATAGCTATGGAAGCCCTAAAAAACCAAAGAAAACGTAGTGGTGTTTTTCAGTATCGTATTAAACAAAAGTCATGTAATTTTAGGGCAAGGGCGATTCTGGGTGTTTTCTCTGAATGCTTCTGCCTTCATGCTAGGTTGATACTTTGAGAAGTAGATGCTTCTCAGGAGCATGGAAAAAGGAATAATTTCTTGATGTCATAACCAAGTAGTAGGAAGACTTACGGCATGGAAGAAAGAAATCCCTCTTTGTTGTTTGCCACATACAAGACTATATATAATTTCAAGTGTATATAAACTAGTCTGTAAGAAAGTTTAATCTTACTCTAGCCATGTGTGTGTGTGGTTTCGTTTTGGTTTGGCTTTTGTCCCTGTACTCTCATTTGCTGGCTAAACATTATAGAGGAACAGTTAAATAATAATAATTTTTGTAAAGCCTGACAGGATCATCATCATAGGTTATAAATACTTCTGATTTGATTCAGGTTTACTGAGAGAATAGGTAGGTTTTTGAACTTGTCACCTGTGTAATGATTCTGTTAAAGAGTCAAATCTTGGGCTTTTTTATCCCATGTACCTCTGTATCCTATATCAGTTGTTTTTTAAAAACAAAAACAGACGAACATCTTTTGATTAATGTTTTCATATTGTGTACTTGATTTTAGAAGTGAATAAACTCATGTCTAAATAAGCACACATTCAAACCTAGCATCACAATTGTGAAAATTGTGGCTCTCAACTTTCTTCCTGTGACATAAAAAAGTGTTTCTCGTGTTTCTTGTTTCACATGTTTTCTTGTTTGTTTATTCCTCAAGAAAGTGATAGTGACTTTTTGACAAACACTTCTATGATTTAGGGTTTCTTCATTTTGCACAACTCATGTAAACAATTTTCAGGATAGAGAATTTTATCTGTTGAGAGGAACGCTCCAGGAAATGTCACTGTTCTATTGCTTAATAATTTCCCAAAATGTCATGTTCAGAGATGAGGGATATTTGCATTGCAATCATGATACTTTTGCTTTAATGTAGACTGTTTGGAAGGCACACAGGTTTAATGCAAACAATTACTGTGAGAGCAGTTAGTGTATGTACCTCTGTTCTGATGTAAAATGTGAATATATAGGTTGTCTTCAGCGATGAAGCATTTATTCCTCTGAGAGATTAATTTTGTTTTTTGATTGGAGATCTTCCTCTCATCTTCTTTCTGAATTTTCCCATCTAATGCCTTGTCTCACAGGTTTCTAGTTGTGTTCACTTCCGCCCTTTTACCCCCTGTTATTTATATCCATGCCCCTTTTAGTCATTACTTAGCAGAATTTCATACGTTTCTCATTTTGTGTGCATCCTTGTGAATCAGATTTACTGGTACATTCAGTACTGCACTGTTGCTGATTTTTAAGCACTTGATTAGTGTGATGTAATAAAAAAATTGAAATACTTTAAAAAATAGCAGAAATGTTCAGAGGAATTGTTTGACTGCTTTGCTTTAACAAAGAAGATATGAACCTCTTGGCAAAGTGGTTTTGCCTCATGATGTCCTTCATAATTTATAAATACACGAGGAATATAAAACTCTAAGGCTAGACGCAGATTATTAAAAGTGTTGGTAGTTCCTGCAGTGGGAAGAATAGAGATCTAAGTGAGAAAAATTAGATACATACATACAGGTAAAATTTGTAAGGAAAAGCTTTGGTCAAACTGGTAATGTGGGCTAAAAATTCAATAGAGAACCAATGAGATTTTATGCTGAAAGTACTGTTCCTGTCTTGGTGGGGATACACGTTAGATGACAAAAGAACATTAATTTATATAAAACTTCAGTGAGGTGTGAGAAAGGAATAATTCATAGTCGATGGTCTCTGATGAGAACTGGAGATATTGGAGGAGCAAGAGTGGATAGGGAGATCCTGAAAATCAGGAGGGAAAGAAAGTTGTAGAGGAACAAAAAAGAAGAGTAGAATATGTGAAGACAGAATAGGATGTCTGGGGGGCAATATGCAGATTTTCTTTTGAGGAAAGTAAAGTAGAAATGCATGAAGAAAGAAAAATGCAAGTGGGGAACTTTTAGCTGAGCCAGTAGGTGGGTGAATGTGTACTGGAACCTAAGTTTGTTGTTGAAGGTACGTGCTGTTTTGAGATGTCACACTTAAGTCTTCTTAGAATAGAGGTAAGAGATGTGGAGAAACTCAATATTCGGTGCTATGTTAAGACAACATATCAAGTGCAATTTCAAGCTTTTCTGTGTGGGTAAGACATAGCCTGTGTATAGAAAAATGGCACCTTTTACTCTCAAAGAAATAAAGTTATAGAAAATAACAAGGCCAGGTTAGATGAGGCTTTGGGCAACCTGGTGTAGTGGAGGGTTTCCCTGCCCATGGCAGGGGGGTTGGAACTAGATGATCTTTAAGGTCCCTTCCAACACTAACCATTCTATGATTCTATTAAAATGTAGGCATATTGTGGGGAGGGGTATAAATAAACACTTGTCCACTTGCGCATAGTTTTCTCTAATGTACACAGCGCTCTGATCTGCAGTTATAGTTCTCCCTCCTCTCCCTGGTTTAGGGGGGGAGAAAAAAAAAAGTGCCTTTGCAAGGCACCTTTTTTATAAAGCAATTTCCATATTCTAAGTGACTGTGTCTTCTCTTTTCCTAGTAAGTGGATCCCTCCTCTGAAATCCCTTGTTTGCTTAATTTATGTGAGAGGCTAGAAGGAGTAGCTGCCCTAGTAAAACGGAATAATATGCTTCTAGATGGAGGTTAAATTTGTCCATAAGTTATTAAGGAGCTGCATTTGGTTTTAATGTTGGTGCATTCACAGATCAAAAATGAAGTGAACAAGCTCTATAAATTGTTGGAAATCGATATTGACGGAGTCTTTAAGTCCTTGCTACTGTTAAAAAAGAAGAAATATGCTGCCCTGACTGTGGAACCAACAGGAGATGGGAAATACGTAACTAAACAAGAACTGAAAGGATTGGATATAGTCCGAAGAGACTGGTGTGATCTTGCGAAAGAGGCTGGAAAGTGAGTTTCTTTGTGGCATTGTCCTTTTTGCTCTGTTTTAAACAGTACATGCTTCATAAACATTTGATATCTCATGGGTGTTTCCTCAACACTGCAGGCTGGTGACTAACATCAGTGTTAGGGCATCTTAACTGATTTTTGTAGGAGTTAGTGACAACATTGCGTTTTGGCGTTGGTAACAGATTCTGCTTGTGCAAGTCCAAATGTCTCTAATTTCACTATCTGGTTTTGTATCTTCTGTGGAAGCTGTGCATTTCAGTTGTCACAGTTTTGTACGTGCAGTTTAATAAATCACAGCCGAAATCTTGTGAAAATGGTAGGTGCTGTCAGCATTTGGAGTCATAGGTTTTAGGTCAGATCGTTTTTCAAAAATGGTTAAAGAAGCTCATGAGCTCTTTCAGCATCCTTTAATAAAGCTGGAAGTGCACTGGGTGCAGCCTGAGGAGATGATCCCTTCCCCAAAGACGTTCTCTTCCATTTTTCACGAGACTCTTCTGGTGCTTCATTATGATGGATATTGCATTGACGCTTTATTGATTGTCGTTGCACAGGGCATTTTCGTACTGAAATTCAATAGAGGTAACACATTTAGCACTGTGGAAAGAAAACTGGAGTGGGTGGAGAGGTGGTCATCTGGAGGCTGACTCAACTTATATTGCGTACTGCCTCTTGAAAACTTAACTTAAATAAATTGTAGTCCAAATGCATCCAAAAATGAATACTTTTTTACATCTGTAAAAATACACCACACAGTTGCTTACTGTTCTTAAGACTTGCATTTTCTAAGAAAAGATGCATCATAATAGAAGCAAATTTTTCCAAGTTAGAAATGTATTAGTAATTAAAGCTATACAAATGTTTGAGAGTGTTCTTTAGTGACTAACTCTTCTGCAGCTGGCAGATCTTCCAACCACATTTTACAGAAACAGGCAAGACTTCGCTCACTTGGTATGTTCTCTTCTTGCCCATCTTAAGATACCTGCTGTGGAATAATAAATGGCAAAATGAAATGGGAGCAGAAAATAGAAACCAGTTGCACTCAACAATTCCAAATCACTGTTTAACATTAGAACTATTTACAATAATTTGCTTTTAGTAAAATAAGTAAATAAATAAAACACAACATGAAATATCCTGGCTGTAAATTTTGCATCAGACTTCATCTTCAAGCTCTTTAATTTCTAGAAGTGACCCAAGGGAAGAGAGGATTGTGTTTATTGTAACGGTTTTACTTTGCATGTCTTAAGCTTTACTTCATTTCTGGACTGTTTTTACAGCTATGTAATTGGTCAGATTCTTTCTGATCAGCCCCGAGACGTAATTGTGGAAAATATTCAAAGGCGGCTTATAGAAATTGGAGAAAATGTGATCAATGGCCAGATCCCAGTAAATCAGTTTGAAATAAACAAGGTAAATGATATCTCAGTTCTTTTCTGTCTCAGAAAAACTGTACTGTTCTTAAATATATTGACTGCTGATAAAAATTCTTATGAAGTTATGAAATATCAGGAGTTTTATGAGATACTGAATAGCATGGAACATACTGCAAAGATCCTACAATATGAGAGAAAAATACCTTGTGGGGCTGGAGGCCAGTCTTGCTTCCTCACAATAGTGACTTTGTGTCTTGTCCACCCATTCTGCACTTTGAGAATGACATGATAGCTCATGCTTTCAGGAGAAATTTCCTCCTAAATTGTTATTTTTATGTTTCAAGTTTGAGATACATAAACTGAAGAATGCAATGGAAAAGAATCTAATGTTCTGTTTTTTAGAAAACCAAGATAAAAGCTTATTATTGTTAGTTTATTTCCCTTCAAAGCTCCACAGAATAAAGCTAATAGTAATTTTAAGGTCTTATTCAAGACTTTCCTGCAGCAAGAAGTAAAACGCTCTGCTTTATCTACAGGAGTTTCAGCAAACAGCATTATGGTTTTGGTTCATTTTTATGAATCCCCAATGAAACCTGTATTTTTAACTTCAAAAGCCTCCCCTCCCCTGGCTAGGGAGATGTTTCACTCATGAATTTGATATTACATGCCCCTCATGCTTCTAATACAAGAGATTTCCCAAATTTGCTCCATCCAGTGTCTCTTTCTTTTGCCAGCTGGACGTCTATCTGCTCTGTAAGACTGTGTTAATCAATCAGTTAAGAAATGTGTTCAGATTGTTATATGCGTGTTAGAGAAATCAGTTATTTTTATGGCTGATTTAAAAAAAAAGACTATTTTGACTGCAAATATTCTAAGAGTACTTAGTATCCCAGTAAAAGATACAGGTGGAATAATTTTCACTTTAAATGCTGAATATTCTTCGGTTTTACTACTCTGGAAAAAGTTAAATAATATATTTCACTATTAAGCCAGATGTATATGTTGATTCTAAGAATTGGGATGACGGTAAATATTTAAATATAGCATTTTATTTTATTTAAAGAAAAAACTCATTGTGGAATCTCAGTAGTATGACATGCATGGAAATATTTATATCCAGTTCTATCCTCTTGCTACAGAGCTCGTTAAATGCACTTAACTCCTTGATATTCAGATTTACTTTATGACCTGAAGTGGTGCAGGGGTAAGAAGGTAATCTCTGGCTGTATTTTTGTATTTTGTGTTTAGTTTAATTTTAAAACAATTGCATTATAGTTGTAACTGTTTTGAACTGTTGTGCTTTTATGTAATGCATTTTTCAAACAGTAATTGTAAAAGCATCCTCCTGTTTTATTAATAATAAAGTTTTTAAAGTATGAAGCACTAGTATCTAGACCTTAATGTGTGGAAAATACTTTTATTACTATTTTTTAAATTGCAAATGTACTTGTGAATAGTATATGGATGAAGATAGCTACTATGTAATCTTGTCTTTTAAAGTTCTGCATTGTCCATTACTGAAGTAAAATATTTTTATCATAGTTATGTTTCTGTTTTCTCCTTTGATCTCTTAGGCATTGACAAAAGATCCACAGGATTATCCTGACAAAAAAACCTTGCCACATGTGCATGTTGCCATGTGGATAAACTCTCAAGGAGGCCGAAAGGTGAAGGCAGGAGACACAGTGTCATACATCATTTGTCAGGTAGAAGTGTCTTTATTTATCGCTGAATGCTAGTTGTTGTTTTGAGAGATGACAAAGAAAACCAACTCAACTCCTGGAAGAAATGTTTTGGCATTTCTTTGTAGTGAGATTATGTTATAGTTTAAAATAGTCAGTTTTCAGTACTAAATCTAGCTTTATAGAGACAGAACCATTGTGATCAGCTAAGCTCATCAGATTATTTACATATAGTGGCTGATAAAATTTCCTTGCATTAATTTCTGTTTGGAACTAGAACTTATTTTTAAGGAAAATACCCAGTCTTCTTTTTAAGGAGAAAAAAATTCTGGTGTTGAAGAACCTGTTGTTGTTGGGGAAAGCTAATTGATGGTGGTGGTTAAATAGCGTCACTGTTATTTCCAGTCTCAACCTGTGTCTTTTCAATTTATAGTCACTGGATCTGGCAGTACATCTCTTGGATAGACTGGGGAATTTGAGAAACTTTTTGGTTTCAGGTGTTTATCCTATAAATACTCATCATCTCACAAATTTATACACCACTTTGGATTTCCTATTAAGAAAATAAAGTGTAGGTTGGATTAGATGGACCAAGGGAACTCCTATGCCAAACTGATGGGCTTAGCAATTTGACTTCTGCAGTGGACCACTGTTTCAGCTCCTTCATCATTAAAAACTGAAAGTTACTGGGTTTTATTTAATTGAGAGTTCTTAGCCTGACATGACAAAGCTGCCAAGACTTATGAGAGCTGGGCCATGGGTACGGCTGAGCAATGGCACAATACAAGAGAAGAATGTACTTGTTGAAAAAAGGGAGCTGAAGGAATTGCATTGTAATTATTTTTGCAAAGCAGCTGGATGAGCTGAATAGTCCTAAATTAATTTTGTTCTGAATACTAAGTTGTCTGAAAGGAGTAGGAGGGACCAATGGCTTGCAGTCTGTCTTTATTAGTGATGGGTTTTCAGTCCGTGGTTGCTGACCCTATTCAAGCCAGTAGCTCATCTTAACTGAAAAATGAAGGTGTCACATGTTAATGCATTAGTTTTATTTTGCTGTAAAAAAGGCAAAAAAAGAGACTGTACTTAGCAAAAAATAAACTGTGGTACTTCCCCCCCACACACACACATTAAGATTTACTCCTGTTAGTGAATGCTAGCTAAAATGCTACTTTAAGTTATGCTCTAAGATTTTTGACATACATTAAAAATAAAATTTCCTAGTGTAGTTACAGACTGGCAATAAGATTCTACAAACGGAATGAGTTATGTTTTTCCGAAGAGTACTATTTTCTGAGAGTTGATACTTAATTCCTCCATGAATACTGTTTTCGATTTAATTATTGCCTTCCCAAATTGAATTATTTTCTCCTTATCTTCCTCTTTCAAGTTGGAGAAGAACATAATCTATACTCTAACCTCTGAGTAGTGTTTCTCTGAACTTGAGATGTCACTATGTGTTTCTTTCAGTATTTCTAAATATTTCAGAATTTGCTCTTTCAAATCGATACTATTGCCTCTGTCATTTATTTGCATGCCAATGAACAATGGTCCATTCTGTGACCATTCACTCTGTTTCCTTATAGAATCAAAGAGTATAAATTTCTGATCCAAACAGATACAGTTTTGACATCCAGGACTTAGAATTTGCTTGTTGTGCAAAATGATAATGCTAGTTTAGTACAAAGTGAATCCAAAATGCATGCCCTCTGCGTATTTTTAACTGGGCTGATGGTTACAATGTGTTTTCATTGTGCATTTCAGAATTGACAGATGGGACTGTTTACTCTGTCTACTCTTACTGATTTGCACGTGTAGGCTGCAATAATACAGACTGGATTTACATTCTTGAACTTGCTAGCTGATGCCAGCATCAGCAATGCAATTTTTTTTTACTACTGATGGATTTGTATTGGATGCATAATAAATCAACCAAAAGAGAGTGATTGTGTAACAATTTTGCGTTAAAATAATGCATAATATTTGAAGCCTAATCTTTTGTATAGACTGAATGTGGATTTTACTTTTTTCACACTTTTTCATGTGTCTCCTGTCTTAGGATGGATCAAATCTCAGTGCCAGTCAGCGAGCATATGCTCCAGAACAGTTGCAAAAGCAAGAAAATCTTACTATTGATACTCAGTACTACCTGTCACAGCAAATACATCCAGTAGTTGCTAGAATATGTGAGCCCATAGAGGGAATTGATTCTGTTCTCATTGCAACGTGGTTGGGTGAGTATTCTAAGTTCAGTTTATTTAAAGAATTACAAGAGACAAAGTGAGAAGTTTTAATGTATGTTTCTTAACAGAAATGCTTCCCAAAATCGGTCTTTTTACAAAGAACAATAGCTTGTGTTACACAGTCTATACAAAGCAGCTGGTATTGTAAGTGTATTTCTATGACTTTTGCAGAATACCATTTTTCAGAAGGTACTCATTAACATGAACTTAATCTTATAATCCTTGTTCAGAGTTGCAAATAATTACTGTTTGTAAATGACAGTGCTATTGCATGTCTTTGAGATTTTCTTAAGTGGCTGAAGTAGGTCCGGAACATGCATCCAGAACTAGCATTTTTCCAGGGAGAAACCCTAGCATCTCCAGCATAGGAGAAACCAGTCATAGTTATAATGAAAGGATACAAATTTTTAGTAGGGTGTAAGTGAAGACTTTTGTTTCCTAGAACTGACCTAGTGGATAATATAAACGTAAAATCATAGTAACGGTCTTCATTTCTCCATGTGGAGCAGGCAAGCGGCCAAAAAAAAAAGTGCTATAAAAATGTGACTAATGCTAGTGACCCACAGACTCACCAGTTTTTATACAAATGAGCAACAGGGAATTGCTCTTGTTAGAGTTGTTTCTCCTATAAAGAGGATGTCAAAGGAATTCGAAGTAGAGATTTTTCCGCCCAACTCTGATTGCCGCTGTCTTGTCCATTCCCTAGCCTTCTCACCGAGAAAGAAGTACAGGTGTTGAAAAATTTTTAACAGTTCTATCAGGTCTCTTTCCATGAAAATACAATGTCTGTGTAATCATTTTAGTATTGTTTCCTCCCTAAAAGTGATTCACCAAGCAGACATGATTGATCTCCTTGATAAACAGAAATTTTGTCATCTGTATCCCACATCTAGTTCATTATTTTCAAAACTGTTACTCCAGGACACAGAAAAAGGCTGTTAATTTTTGCTGGCTGCTCGGTTCTTGACAAGACTGTTCTCTCCCACAAGAAGACTTTTTTAGAGGAGTTGCACTGAGTCAGTTTAATAATCTCCTGTTTGATGCTATGCTTGTGTCTACAGAAAGTTCAAACCTGCAGAAATGTTTTTGTTCAGCATTTTGAAATGCTCAAAGGAAGAGTTAGTCCTCAGCATTTTGTGTTCAGGTAATGGCCAAGATCCAGGATCTGGTCACATAAAACCAACCGGCAGCGTGTTGCCTGTCAGGACTGTTCACCTGGGACACTGCATCTCTGTAGCTTTCTCCCTGACAGCGAGTTCTGCTCATGGTGAGCTCACAGTTTGCAATTAAAATGTGTGCAAGTAGGTTCCTGTCCTGTTGCTTCTCAAGAAGGGTGATGGCCATGAAAGATCATCATCTCCCAAGACAGTCTTTATAATGTGCAGCTTTTTCCATTTCCAAGTTGTCTGTGGAAAAAAAAAAAAAAAGGACAGGAGTTCTGCTTTTTCTGGAAGCACGAGCAGGGCACCCACATACCCTGTGTGGCTGCAAGGGTATTTCTTGGAGGCTTTTGATGTTGCAGTGTGTTCTCAACAGCTCTGGTGCTTTGAGGAGGTGTCAGCCCTACTTCAGACATGCAGGCTGACCATACAAATCATTCTGTTATGTGGCAGGGCCTCGGTGTACAACTTTCCCTTGATGTCAGAATGGACTACGTGGTATGCCTGACTGAAAAGGTCAAGCACTCCTGGTTAGGTTGAAGAAATTTAAAATAAGCGGTAAACTTGTTCTTCATTTAGATAAAAGACAGGAAAGATTTCTGAACCTAGTATATTTGGCCAAGATTGTTAGTCTTGCAGAGTTAGGCTCAAATTCAGAGTTGTTCCTTATTCACAACAGGTTGGATTTTCAGAAAAGACTGGCTCCCTTCAGGCACCTAAATTAAGTGCCCAGATCTTAAGAACTGTGTGCCACTTGATAGCATCTACTGTTTGCAAATGCCTGTGCTGCATTTTGTGCTATAGTACGTTCAAGATGAAAATTTCTTTTGTGGTCTATAATAGCATCATGCAGCTGAGAGTTTATTAATAGTCCACAATTGTTAGTCTGAAAACCTGTATGTATCTATTACAATCTTAGGTCTGAAAAGTGTTCAGTTTGACCTTGCTGTGCTGTAAAAATGTTCTCTCTTTCTCCAGCTTTGTTTTCATGGGAATGCTTAAATTGAGCTTGGGAGTAAAGTCAGGTCTTTTTCAAAACTTCTGCTCTACTTAGGTCTTTATATACACTACTTACTCAGAGTCGTACATAAGCCACTGCAAGCTGAAGTTATCTTACAACTTTTTTGTAACAGTACTGGAGGAATAGTCAAGTGGTTTTGATTCAAAGAAATGGAAAATAGTTTTAAGTGTACAAGATGCTTGAGCCCAGCTTGCTAAAACAAGCAAACATGAGAACTCTTTACTGTTTTCTGTTGGTAAGTTGGGCTTTTTTGCTTAATATTTTCATCATGCTACACATCCAAATTCCTGTTGTTTTTCCTATTTTGTTGCAAAAGAGCACATTTTTCTGTTTTGAAGAAGAAAGCTGGTGTTTCGAAGGATATCTAAGTGTGTCCTATCTGTGGACCAAAAACTTGGTTGCGTTCTCATTGTGTATGTCTTCCTCTGCCTGATCTGATTTACTGTGTTATGCAAGATATATGTCTGTATAGGGAGAACGGTTGTAGGAAAAAGATCTTGGTTTCATATTTAACAGAATCTCTTTATAAGCTGAATGTTTCATTGTCATGTCACCACCTGAGTCCAGGTAGATAAAATTGAGCTCTGCTTAGGGAAGCTTGGCTCTTATCAAAATGATGAAAAGTTCTTTGTTCTGTCTGTGTTCAAAGCAAGTTATTTTACGCTCTTTTCGATGCTGAAGAAGAAAAGCAAATAACCACACCTAAAAATTGCAGAGAACTCCAGTCCACAGTTATTCACTATGGAATGAAGCTGAAAATTGCTTTTTGTTTTCGGACATTGTAGGAAGTCTGCCTAGCTTTTGAGAGATGGAAATTCATTGTTCCTAAAAATGAGAACCTCGTGGGCATACTCATATTCACTCTCTTTTTCTTGAAGTTCTTGAGGAAGAGCAGTGACAAGATGAGGATTGTGATGGTTACTGAAACTAAGTGTGCAATCTCATCAGTAATATCATTCAATAAATCTGATCTTGAAAAATCAAATGCTTGAAGACCTTACATCACCCTGAAGATACCTATAGCTTTTTATTTAAAAGAACTGTATTGGCAGAACAATTCTCTGAGCATATTTAAAATAAGGGGTTTTTTTTGTTAATACATAAATATTGCTCCATGTCTCAAAGAAAAATCATGTCTTATTTCTGTGCTGTCAAAGGTATCTAAACATTATGGAAGCAGTGTCATTTAACCGTGGGATTTTTGTAGCTGTTACTGCATAACATCATTTTCTCTAAATTACGAAAGTTGCTGACTGCTGTCCTAGACTGTGTCATGGTCTTCTGAAAGAGACATGTGCTGCTGCCTTCCACGTGGATGTGAATGTTGGTTCTCTGCAGGCTGCTTGGCATTTGGGCATTTCTTAGGAAGGCTATTTAATTTTAGGGAGTCATGACTGGGTCCTGATGAGGCTTGCGATGAAGAGTGCTTGCCAGTTCCTCCTTCCTCGCAGTGTCTGCATGTTAGCTGATGCGCGTAAGGAAACTCGCCACCACCTTAAAGATACTAAATCTTTTTTTTTTCTTCTTCCTAGAGAATCATTTATAGTTACCTTTAATACAGTATTTAGCAGCTACCCAGACTGTCTCTCCTGACAGAAATCAGGACAGTTGTGCTCTCCTTGTGGCACGCAGGAATTACATCAGGTTCTGTCTTTTTTATTAGTTTTCTCACATTAGGCAGCGAAGTGAGAGGAGAATGATGGAAATGAAGGTTAAAGTCATGGCGAAACTCCATGGCAATACAGTAATAAACCCCCAAGCGTGTGAATTTTTCTGCCGGGTGTTTCCGAGATGCCCCAGACCTGCTTAGAAACGGGGACTGGCGGAAGCGTCGTGCGTGCGCCTTTCCGGGCGATGGGATAATCCCCCGCCTCCCTTCGGAGGACCCCGTGCAGAAGGCAGGCGAGCTTTGCAGCGCAGGGAGGCCCCTGAGAATCACAAAAAAGCTGGCGTTTCCCCGTTTCCCAAGGGCAGAGGCCTTGGCCGCCCGGAGTTCGGTTCAGCGGGCGGCTCCGGCCCCGGCCCCCACCCCGGCCCG